AAAAAAAAAAAACAATCGGAGGACTCACTAGTCCTTACAAAAACAAATAGAAACTCACTCCTTTCAGGTGGCCTAGACCAAACACCAACAAAACACTAAAGGCATAGACAAAGCTATGAGACCTGCAACACCGCCAAAACTAAACCAACACAAAAGAAAAACTAACACGAAACACCCCAACAGAGTTATGAAACGACCCTTAACGGAGTAATGAAACAATCCCAACAGAGTAATGAGATCTGGACCAACCGGTCCAAACTAAAAACACAGACCTAAAGAGCACAAACACTGACAACAAAAAACAAAAACTAATACAGAAGAAAAAATACAAACTAATGATAGCTAAATAATGCCCTTCGATAGCAATCAACCGGCCCTAACCAGCGGAGAACAGCCGAATCAAAGCATAGTCTAAGTCCAGGGGATACTCCCGAAACTGCCACAAGGTCTATACTAAGTTCCGAGCCCGAACCCAAACCATTCTCCGAAAGCGACTCGCCTCAACCGAAGGGACAACCGAATCCGCGCCCACTTTTGCACCGGCCAAGAACGCCTAACACCACTAGCCGAGCTTAGGAGAGCCGGAACCCCGTCGTCTATCACCACTAGACGAAACAGGGGGCCGGGTCGGGCCCTCAACTCCGACACACCATCAGAGCCCTATCCCTCCTCGCAACCCATAAACTAGCCCCTTTCACCACAGATCACCGGCACCAGGAAAATCCCGAGCTGAGCTCCGTCGGGAAAACAGTACCTCCCGAGTGGCCTCCAATCGCACTCAGAATCAGCAACAAAGAACACGAGCAAAGAAAGGAAAAGAACTCACCTCCAATCGACACCGGCTGCCAACTATACCACCCATAGCAAACTGGACGAAGACCAAAAAGCTCGCCTCCTCTTATCTCAACTTCACCGGTGAACAAAGTCATGACCGACCTGCAGGCTCTCCGTGGCAAATCGAGGGACTGGGACAGCAGAGGATGGACTGCGGTCGAGCACGACCACCGGCCGGTGCCGCACCGCAGTCGAGGAAGGTTGCGCGAGTCACAAGAGAGGAAAGCTAGGGTTTCGATTTAGGGGAAAAGGAACGCTGCGGTTTGTTCAAAAAAGTAAAAATGATCCTTACATCCTTCAATTGATACGATTTTATCATTATTTCTCCGCGCATCGCATGAGTTACATACTATACTTTGATACAAAAAGAATCACCTGAAATTCCTCTTTTATCAATTATAATTTATATAGAACAAAGTCTATTATATACGTACCACATATAATACATTTGGGCGCAAGTCTTTAGCGTGTTCGTGCAAAATGATTGTTTGAATAATCTTACTTCTATATAATTTTATTTTTAATAATTCAATAATTAACGACTTTAATATCAGCTTGTTTCGTATCTAACAGATCTCCCGTTAATTAATTGACCTAAGATATTTTATTTTTTTCAATGATCATCCCAATTGTAATTGTTTTAAATTTATTTAATTGGAACTGTATAGGTTTGAAGTATTCAACAATATATTAATTATGGGATATGGGATTTTATCTGCTAATTCAGCTATAAATATCCCCTACACATAAATCTCTAATATAATTAGAAAAAAAAAAAAATCTCAAACAATTATTCTTCTTACATAATGAAGATGTCGACCACAAAATCAATGTTAATAGTCATCGTTGTTCTTGCTGTCTTGTCCTTGGACGCGAATGCTTATGATGCCGAACCTTTACAGGATTTCTGTGTTGGTGTCAATGACTCCGATGCTAGCGGTAATATATATATATATATACATATATATTTTTTTTTTCACAAAATTTTTTATGCTTCAGTCAATTTGAATGTAAAATTTTTGGGCAGTATTGGTGAACGGGAAGATATGCAAGGACCCAGCCACCGTGACCTCGAACGACTTCTTCTTCTCAGGCCTCAACGAAGCCGGCAACATAACAAGCCCATTCGGGACTAAAGTGACGGCCGTTTTCGTGAACCAGCTGCCGGCCCTCAACACGCTCGGCATCTCCATGGTCCGCATCGACTTTGCCCCCGAAGGCGCCAACCCACCACACGTTCACCCACACGCCTCTGAGATCCTGCTCGTCTTGGAGGGAACTCTCTACGCGGGCTTCATATCCTCTAATCCTCCAAATGCAGCCGATGAGAACAAGCTCTACTCTAAGGTCCTAAACCCGGGGGATATTTTCTTGTTCCCTAAGGGACTCATTCATTTCCAGTATAACCTTGGGAGCACTAATGCTGTTGCGATTGCGGCACTAAGCAGCCAGAACCCGGGAGTTGTGACCTTGTCCAAGGCTGTATTCGGGTCGCAGCCCTCTGTTTTGCCGGACCTTCTCACCAGATCTTACCAGCTTGATGGTAAAACGATCAATCGACTCTTGTCGTTGGAGTGGATTGGGACGGCTTAGTCAAAATTGTGTTTCATTTCGACACATAATAAGCTGTGCTCTCTTCTTAATTTTAATATTTTAGCAAGCATTGAAGCAATATTTATGTTTGTATCAATAACAGTTCGTTTAGATCAAAGGATCGACACCCTTGCTATTATAGTTTGCCTACTTGTTCTTGGAATTTATATCAACTTACTACTTTTGTAGATTTTTTTTTTTTTCTTTTTTCTTTTTTTTTTTACCAAATAAAAAAAAGAGGCGAAAGCCTTAAGTGATGATGTTACGAGGGTATGAAACCCCTAGGATATCATGGTATAACCACGGGTTTACCCTCGTGGGTGGGTCGTCAAGAACGTGGAGCCCACTTGGCATGGTCGAGGTCATCGATGCAACATCGATGTTAGATAGTCTGTTGCAAAGTTTTCCTCTCGATGGATGTAGCGGACCTCCACTCTCCAATCTCTTGCGAGTAGCTCTCAAATTCCCATGATAATGCTACGGTGAACCCTGAGTGGCACCACATCGTCAATTTGCAGCACCGCCACTTTTGTACAAACTTCAAATCAATAAAAGTTCGTTTAGATCAAAGTATACTATTTACGAATATATTTTTTACCAACAAAGGTTGACTCAAGTGGTAAGCAGTTTAATGTCGCTTAAGCAAGGTTTGAGGTTCGAGTCCTTGTGGATGCAGAAAATCTTTGTTGGGATAGGGTCGACCAACGGATTAGTCGGGGCATAGCTCCAGATACCATTGCTGGCTTCCATAAAAAAAATTATATATTTACGCCTTTCTACAGTTCTTGGAATTCAAATCTTGTAATAAACCACACTTACAAATTGGCAGTCGGTGAAAGGTATGATCCAGAATGATTGGATACAAAAATTCTAAAAAAAATCCAAACGTTTTTAATTCAACAACTTTTTTTAACTCAACTCACTATCATCAGTATTATCAATATAATTAAATAATATCAATTAATCATTCTTGCACACTACATCAATTTAATTCACTATTAATTCGCTCACATAATTTTAACTAACCATCACTTGAAATCATATATCTCCTACTTTTACATCAAATCAATTTTAATTATTTTATTTTAAATATTATGTTATTATATTCCCACTAAAAACTAATTATACCAAAATTTTCAAAATTAATCAAACCAAACTAAAAATATCTAAACAAAACTAATTTTTTTTGTATCCAAGTATCCCAAGCTACTTTTGAATTTATGAAAAAAAAGAATAAAGAAAAGAAAATAATTATAATTATAATAATAATTCAGAAGAACAAAATATAAGCACACCAAATTAACTGAAAGTTGAGTTCTGAACCAATTTTAATCCTCATTAAATTAGTTGTAATTCGAGCGCATCTCATTCATTTAATCGAATGTAAAATGAATCAGAAAGAAAAGTGGTTAACTTTCTTGATTTCACTTTAGTGTCATTTTACTTTCATTGAGCTTATGTGTGTTTGGTATTGTTGGGGTATCACAACAAGCGCAGTGGACAAAAATACCCCTCCAACAAATATGGCAAGTACTACTCCAAAATAAGCCAACACAAATAAAAGACGAGAAATAAAAAGAACACAAAAATTGATAACGGAGTTCGGCGAAAATAGCCTACGTCTCCGGGCACCGCCAACCGCAACGCCAAATTTACTAAACTCACCAACAAAATACAACTAGGGTTAAATAACCCACAAAATAGGATTTCCTTAATTAAGGATTTCCTTCTAAATAGGAGAGAATAGAATAAGGTGCAATTGTAACCCAAAGGCAAGGGACCTATTTATACTAATAAGATCCTACACATCTTTGGTATACATCCGATGTGGGACAACAATTAATCAAAAAACTAACAGGTATCAGCAAACAGTCTATGCACTCAAAAAAAAAAA